TTTTTTTTTAATCTTTTTGACACAGGGTCTCCCTGTAGACCCAGCTGGCCTGGAACTCACTATGTAGACCAGGCTGACCTTGAAGTCCCAGAGATTTGCCTGCCTCTGTACTGGGACTAAAGGTGTGCACCACCATGCCTGGCTGCTTATGTCATTTCTTAAGCAGTTTTTCTGTTAATGCTTGAAAGAAGGCTATCTCTGTTTGCACAAAAGGTTAGTGATCTCCTACCCCAAGTAGTAATGAAATTACTTTTTAGCTGGGCATAGTGGCATATACCTATAATCCCAGCACTTGGTAGGCTGAGGCAGAAATATGAATTTGAGTTATACAGAATTTGGACTTTACAGCATGACCTTGCCTCAAAAGACAAAACAAAAGAAAGAAAAAGAGGGACATTAGAGATGGCTCAGTGGTTAAGAGCACTGGCTGTTCTTGCTGAGAACTTGGGTTCAGTTTCTAGCACCCACATGGTGGCTAATAACTATCTGTAACTTGAGTTCCAGGGGATCCACTGCTCTCTTCTGTACTCAGTGGGTATTGCATGACAAGGGTGTACTTATATTCAGACAGAACACTCATACATATACAAATAGATAAAATTTTAACTTAAAAAAAGAAAGAAGAAATTACTTCTGTTGTCTAAACTTCTGGTTTTATCTTTAATTTATAGTTCTCTGTGGAAGGATTATGTCTATAAAAAAAATTGAATTGGTTGGGGCTGGGGAGATTGCTTAGTGGTTAAGAACATAGGTTGTTCTTGCAGAAGACCCGGATTCAAATCCCAGCACCCACATGGCAGCTAACAACTATCTGTAACTCCAGTCCCAGGGGATCTGACACCCTCTTCTGACCTCCATGGGCATTGCATGACAAGGGTGCACTTACCTACATGCAGGCAATACACACATACACATAAAAATAAAACTAAAAAATAAAAAAAAAATTAATTGAATTGGTAAGCAGGGCATGGTGGCACATGCCTTTAATTCCAACGTTTGGGAGGCAGAGGCAGGCAGATCTCTGTGAGCTCGAGGTCAGCTTGGTCTACATAGTAAGTTCCAGGTCAGCTAGAGCTACAGGGATGCCCTGTCTCAAAAAACAAAACAAAACAAAAAGATTTGAATTGGTCATACTAGAAACCTCCATTTTCTTTCTTTACACATATATAAAAACATCTAATGTGTTCTAACACTCTAGCCTAGAAAAACAGAAAAACCAAAAATAAGTTGGGGAGGCTGAATTATTCATGCTATGGTTTGATATTTGAGTGACATTCTTTGTAATCAGATGGCTATACATAATGTTTTAATTTAGTAGATGAACCTTTGAAAATAAATTTGAGTCTCATGAGATGTTATGACCAGATAGAAATATTGCTATAAATTGCTTATTTATAGATTACAGTAAGCAATATACTTATTGTTATATGTGGAATATGGGAGCCTGAGTAAATAGTTCCTTTTTCATGAGGTTAGAATTCACTAATAATATTATGTCTATCTACCACTACTGTGCTAGAGATTTTTGGCAGTGTCTATTTGCTTTTAATTACTGTTAAATTGAAATTAATAAGTATGCTTTGCTTTTGCATTTAAATAGGATCTTTTCCCTGAGGAGTTCAGTAATAGAATGTGCTGTTTAATATTAGACAATTAGAAAGGTTTATTTGTATACCTAAAACAAATTCTGAATAAAGCTTTAGGATAATTTGGGGTTGTTTATTTATTATGAGACTGTTGTCACTATAAATATTTCAGCAGCCTGTAGCCTTGCCAATTTCCCCTTTCCATTTTTCTTAGCCGACTGACTGTTAAGAATTGGAGGCTCAGAATCGCAGCTCTAAACCGTGCTCCAAATACTCCTTTTCACAGTGTAAAACTAATTAAAATATTTTTCACGTACTGAGTGCACTAAGATGAACTATAGATTACTTTTTATAGAAGTGATTTTTTTATTCGTCAGGAAATGATCATTTGGCACAGTTCTTTTGTGTGTCTTTTCTGGTATTTGCCTTCTATTTTGCCTTTTAAGGGTCCTATTGATTCTTCAGGTTCACCTTAGATACAAGGAAAACTTGAACCCTTCTTCGAGAGCCTGTTTTTTGCTTTTTTTCCTGAGTATCTAGCATTTACCACTTATGTAGTGCTTACACAGGTTTAGCCTATGTTTTTTTCTTATGTGCATATTTGTTTTCTTTCTTATGGTGGAGGGCAGAGATGTGACCTATATCTGCTGTATCTCCAGTAGCAGGTAGCGCTGTGCCTCACAGGAATTCAGACAGTTTTGTTTGATAAATGGAGAACTATAAAAGAAATACAGAACATTTCCAATAATGTTGAAGCAACTAGACATCCATGTTAATAGCCTTGTCCATAAAACCACAGATGATGAGTGTCTGTCTAAAACACCTTTAGGCTCCTTATAGTATGCAACAAACAGCGATTTCTGTCTTCTGTTCCTACACAAACTATTTCTGTTGTATAAAGTCATTGCTGAGTTTGTTTCTAATAGACTCTTGCTTCTGGGATGGATGGTTGAAGAACTTAAGGCAATAAATGGAATAAAAGGTATACAAGAAGGAGAAGGAGCCTGTTGCGGGGAATTTGTGTGGAAACCCACTTGGGTGCTAAGCAACTAGAGTTGGAAGTGGTTTGGAAAGACGTGAACTTGAATAGACAGAGGAGAGTGGAAGACATTTCAGGTTGGAGAGCATAGTTTTAAAACGCGGAAGTAGGGCCTGGGGAGGAGTACCTGCCGTGGAAGCATGCAAACCTGAGTGTGATCCTCAGAACCCACACTTTAAAAAAAAGACTGGTGTGGTAGGACATGCTTGTGATCTCAGTGCTAGGGAAGCAGAAGTAGATGGAACCCTGGGGCATGCTCCCCAGTTGCTGAGCCTACTTGGCCAGCTGCAGGCCAGTGAGAGACTGTTTCAAAAAACAAGGTTGATGGTCCCTTTTCCTCTGGGCTCCCTGTACATATGCACACACATACACTTGCACACACATAAGTAAAAGAAAATAAAATGCAGATTCATCAGACGTTTGTAAAGAATATTTTTAGTAGCACCTTGTACCCATCTTAGCTGAGAAAGTGGGGAATAGGGACCCCATGATTTTGCTCTTCTGTTTTTCTAGTAGCAGCCTACAGTCAGTGCACTAGTGTTTGAATTTGGTCTATGAATATTGATTCTACTACTTACTTGCTGTATGACCCTGGGCAGTCACCAATCCTTTGTAAGCATTAGTTTCTTCATCTTCACTTATAAAATAAACATGATATAAACATGATACTAACAACTTCAAAGTGAATTGTGAGGGGCTGGAGAAATGGTTCAGCTGTTAAGAGTATTGGCTGCTCTTAAGTTTCCAGCACCTACATGGCAGCTAACAGCTAGCTGAAACTCCAGTTAAGTTAAGTTTCCAGCACCTACATGGCAGTTAACAGCTAGCTGAAACTCCAGTTCCAGGAGATCCAGCACTATCTTCTGGCCTCTATGGGCATTACATACCTACACACATGCAGACAAAATGTTCAAATACGTTTTAAAAAGTACATTGTGAGTAGTGAAAATATATACAAAGAACTTGTTAGTACTAGACTTTAAATATTTCTTTCAAAACAGTGTTGCCAGATGTGGTGGGCCATGCCTTTAATCCTAGTACTTGGGAGGCAGAGGCAGGTATATCTCTATGAGTTTGAGGCCAGTCTGGTCTACATAGAAAATTCAGGCCATCCAGGGTTACATAATAAGACCTCATCTCAATAAAGAAATTAATAAGTAAATAAATAAAAAAAGCACACCACAGCACGGGTGGTGCACACATATAGTCCCAGTACTATGGAGATGGAGGCAGGAGGATACTTAGGTTGAGGCTTCCTGGACTTTGAGGCCAGCCTGGCCTATAGAGTGAGATCTTCTACAAAACAAAACAAACAAAAAACTGAAAACAAATTAAATAGATAACCACTTCCACAATCAAAAACAAAGCAAAAAAAAAAAAACCAAAACGTAACTTATTTAAGGGTGGTTGGTGAAATGTAGGGTGTCTGTGACTTCTGCCTTATTTTCTATAAAAATAGAATGCAAATTATATTTATGCTTTTTGTTCTAATAAGGTGGGGTATGCAAAGGTGTCTGCAAGCATGGCCAGTGTTCTTGCATTGTCCTGATGTTTGTTAGTTCTGCCTCAGGACCAGACAGAGGCAGAGTGCAGGCACATTGTTATACAGTATAAACATATATGTGTTGATGTTCTGCAGGAGAGTCAGCTTTGCTTTTTTTTTCCTGACCTTTGTGGCTCAGCTGCCTATCCCTTTCCTTTTGTGAGATGTACAACTCCATGTACACCATAACTTACCATTTGTGATCTAAAGCTGTCAGAATTGAACACCTAAGGGCTGGTGAGATGTCTCAGCATGTAAGGGTGCTTGCTGTCAAGCCTGACAGTCTGAATTTGATCCTTAGAACCCACATGGTAGAAGGAAAGAAACAACTTCCACAAGTTGTTCTCTGACTTCCACACATGTCACACCCTTACACACACACACACACACACACACACACACACACACACACACACACAAAGTAGTAAAGAAATAAAAATACAAAAAGACCAAAACACAGTCACTTTCCCTCCCCCCTCATCTCTTTCTGAGTTGGTGCCTCCTGGCTCTGTTCCTTATTGTCCATATGGGAAGATGGAGATCAGAGCATTTTCTGTTATGTTCCTCTTTTCCATATGCTTGTTAAATTAAAAGAGACTAAAGTGACATAACAGGGCTGGGAATGTAGCTTAGTGGTAGGGCAGTTGCCTAACATGTGTAGATGCCTGGGTTTGATACCCAATACCATGCCTGGCTCCTCATAATTTAAAAAAAATTGTTAAGATTATTGTTTAAATTATTTCATTTTTAATTATGTGTATGTATGCTGGGGGTTTGCACTGAGTGTTGATGCCTACAGAAACCAGAGGCATGGGTTTCAAATGTCTCTTTCTTATAGGGCTGCTGCTCAGAGCAAATTAAGTCACTACACAGATGCAATTAAGGACTGCGAGAAAGCAATAGCAATTGATTCAAAATACAGCAAAGCTTATGGAAGGATGGGGTAAGTTCTGGAAAAATGCTTAAAGTATTACTAAGTAGCATGAGATATGCTGGTTTTAATGGCTTGATTTTGAACTTCCTGCTTAATACTGTACCCTCTGTAATAGTAAGAGGATAAATGTAAACCAAAGAAAGAAATGA